CCCCCCCCCCCCCACTTGAATATTTTATATGAGGAGATTGTAAATGCAGAGTCTTGATTTATCTTAGTGTCTGGACCTAAAAGCAATCTCCATCATTACGCTTGTCATTCATTTATAGAAAAGAAGTAAGGCCAATTGTATCCATCTTCCACATGTCATACATATTTACCTCTTGAATGGGCAATATATTATTAATTATCTATTCTCATTTAGCCTCAATACTATTATAAAACCAAGTTATTACCCATGATGAAATAAAAACACAATTTTTCTATGTTTGGCAATAACCAAAATGTATCTACTTAAAAAGTCCTATTTTGTTTGTTCTTTTTTTGAATAGCATTGGATTTTGCTTACTTGGCCCAGTCACTATTTTTTCTCATACCAAATTTCAATTTTTACGATTTGAAGTTACTGATCAAAAACAAAATGTAAATTCATTATCGTCATATCTTTTCATATAATACTATATAACGATTAGTTAATGTTCACATCAAAATTTCAAATATCAAGACTGAGAAGTGTGAAGTTCTTTTAAATTCGAAGCGGCTATTGGAACATGGTATTGCGGGGGGGGGGAAGCTTGCTCACAACTAAAGTTCACTTTTCGAAGGTCGTCAGATCGCCACAACTAAATGTTCGTAATGTAATTAACTTTCTATAACAAGTTCTAATTCATTTGTTAGAAAGAGAGGCATTGTCTTATTTAAAAAATAGTAACACCCATCCCAAAATCAAAATTGCGGAGACTTTTGTCGGCATAGCCTCGGATGTGCTTTAAATTTACTACCAAGATTTAGTAAACAGCATGAAAGAAAAGGTAGCTCCTAATTTCTAAATAATTAATTACTTCTAATTAATAATCAAATTTTCACAAAAGTTAAAAATAAGAAGACTATGAAACGCAATGCTCTGTGTGATCGTCCAATATTTGGTAAACATTTGCCAGCAAATTCCCAATGCCCTGTGTCTCCTTATCAGTACTTGTGACCCTGAGTTTTGCTGGTTTCTTATTCGATTTGTAATGATAGAATACTTTCAGTGCATTCGAAGAGCTCTTCCAAATATTTCGAACTTTTGACTCCAGAAAGTCTTTTCAAGGACTAACTCATTAACCCTAAACAAGTATATTGTATATATGCAAACACCGCACATCAACCAAATTTCCTAAATTAATTCATAATTATTAAATATTTAGAAAAATTTTAATACTTGAGACTAATAAATTTTTACCTCCCCTTAGTAGGACATTCTAATAACTCAGTTTGCACCGAATGGAACTTTGAATTCTCTGCACCTAGAATTTGATTTATAAGATTTTCCTTTTTATTTGGAAATCAGACTCTTTTCACAAATAACATCCCCATTTTATGATGGTAATTAAGATCAACGAAGAGGGAAATAAATTACAGATTAATTAACGAATGCATTTTGCAGTTATAACTAGGGTACCAATATCCAGTGTTGGTGAAAATGAAAATAGACTTAATTGTTTTGGACTGCCAATCAAAGATAAAGATGATAAATAAATAACATTGGAGGGTTTGATTGACTTCACATACGTTTGTTCGACGACAAAAATATTTGATATTAATGTCAAACGGTCATAACAATTTAGTAATAAACCAATGCAGGCGGGCTTTTGTTATCTAAATTCAATTAAATCTGTATAAAATATTAAGTTCAATATATAATAATATAGACCTAAATTAAAGTCCACATAATGTAGGAAATTTGGTCTTTTTATTAACATCCCCAATTGAAGCCTAGCGGGCACTGTTTTTTCATACTAATTTTTAATTGACTGTATTAAATCTCATATATCGGATTTGGGGATGGTAGAAAAACGACCCCGCAATAAAGTCGTTCGATGGTGGTCTTAAGTTGCTGGATGATTCAGTTGTGTTGGAATATGATTCGGTCTTTCTAAAATTTATTTATATCAAATGGCAGGCGTTTTGTTTGTTATCATTAGCCCTATAGTTGACTTCAGGCACCACAGAGGGGAAGGAGCATCAAAGGGGAAAAAAGTCGAGATGAGGGGAGGGGAACAGAGAAGTGTTTCAAAGACGAAGGTAGAAAAGGTAGAAAAGATGAGGTGAGTACTGTGGAGTGATCGAATATGACATACAGTGGGGTCATGGTAGTCTGAATTCAGAAGTCAACTGCCAGTTTATAGACTTTTTTCATATGAGAATACGTTGCCCAGTGTGCACCACGTGGAAGCAAGTCTATCACCCACCCAGGTCTTTCTAAAATAGCAACCCTCATGATTCGAACCGAGAAAAACTCCGGAACTTTATACTGCTTCCCCAACAGACAACTTTTCACATCGTATAGGACGAATCGATTTCAGTCATGAGGGCTTATTTGTAGGAGCAAGTCAATTTCATAAATACGAAATCAAGTAAACTTAACAAAACTCTTTGGTATTTCATTAGGATCAAGCGAGTGTTCTGCGTTTTTATCTTTCTTACATCATCTTTTTTTCCATTAAAGGGTGGTGAGAAATTACATTTTTTCTTCTGTCTGGTAAGTTTCTTTCGATTTCCATTATGTATTACGAATAAGAATCGTTTGTTGATCATGCTTATGAAATCGATAAATATCATTTCTCACTATCTCCATTTAACTTCATACATTTTTAGCGCTGTGGTTAACTCGAATTATGTTCAATTATTTGTTGGTAAACTACAAAAGGCTTAGAATAACCATCTATCATACGTTTGTGGTAAAAGAATATGCGTATTCGTACACACTTCCGGATACTAACTTTGAGACATGTCATACACGCTTAATACTTGAACTTTAAAAGATCCCATACACTAACACTGAACAACGAGTACATGTGTACACGAAATCATTATCATTAACGTATGGTAGTGTATGATCAATCGGCCTAATATGTGCTTAACCAGAATTTCGACTAATAAAGGATAGAAAGAGAAGCCAACATAGAGTGCGGGTGTTTGCCTTCCAGGGCCGTAAAAACTAATTTGGTGCTATTTGGTTCACGATTTGGTATATTAGGAAAATATCTTAATCGGGCACGCAAAATTATAGAGTTAGTAAGCATAACTCTTAGTAAGCAAACTCATTGAAAGAGAACACTTATCCTTTGAAACATACGTTGATAACAATTTATTTGTCATAAAATCGATAATATGTGAACATTTCAATGGGAAAATAATACAAACAGGGAGACATCCACAGCACTTAAAATTGACAATAATTGTGATTCAACACTTTCTTGAATTTTGGCATCTTTCAATTAATTGCAAATATCAAATCAAAAATTAGTTCATGTTTTAAGCATTTTATTTTAAAGGAATATTTAGTGTGTTTTACAGCATTAATAAAAGTTTTTTCACGTAAGCCAACTTTTAAAAATATCTTTAGCCTCTATTGATTGGCTGCTTGTGAATCCACCACTTATTAATTTCTAACACCGCAATCCGTTCAGACATGACACGAGACCGATTAGCTGAATTCAAAGCTGTATGTTTCTTCATTGAGTTATTATCTATTTTTAATTAGCGGTACCACAGAGTTAATGGAGATATAGGGAGTGCTGAACCAGCAGAAAACGTAGAAATCTTGAATACTTATCTCGAAAATGTCAACTCAGCGTCTAAACTAGTTGATGAAATAGCCGAGAATGTGGAACAAATTAAAGCCTGCCAACTGAGGATATTGTCTAACCCCACCACTGACACTGGTATGGAGTCTATTTATTTCCAGCTTTCTTTTCTTAGAAACTTCCAAGCGTTTGGATGAACATATGCGGAACGTGAAGAATCTTTCACTTCGGATTGGCAAAGAATTAAAATGTAATTCTATTATAATTTTGGAATATATTATTTCTTTCCCTTTAGCCTTAGAAGAAAGTCACAAATCAGACCGTCTCATCACTAATAGTGGCTTGGACCGCATTACTGCCTATCAGCATTCCGCTCTCCTGAAAAGATTCCAATCCATAATGGAACAATACAATCACAGTCAATTGGAATATCGGGAAAAGTGTAAATCTCGAATTAAGCTTCAACTAAAGGTTGCCGGTGTTGATTTCGATGATAATAAGGTTGAAGATATGTTGGAATCTACAAACCCCTGTGTCTTCACTGATGCTGTAATGTGTTTTTTTAATAGTTTTATCATCATTCTAGGTGATGGAACAAACTACAGCGGCTAAGAAATCTCTAATGGAGATTGAAGCTCGGCATGCGGATATCCTTAAATTGGAAAAGAGTATTGAAGAGATGAAGGAAATGTTTGCTCAAATTGCTATTCTTGTCGAACAACAAGTAAGATTATTGTTTTTGTTAATGCTATTATTTTCAATATCATTAGGGTGATCTAATCGATAATATTGAGCATAATGTCTCCTTGACTGTTGATCGGGTTGACAACGCTAAAGCTTCGGTGGCGAAAGCGGTCGTAAGCCAAAAGAAAACGAGGAAGGTTCGTTCTTTAGTCTTTTTGTTATTTATTGTCTTACATGCATTATTATTAATTTTCTGAGTATTTATGTCTATCGGTGATTTTAAAGCAGTTTTTTGTTCCAATTCACTGTTATATTTTTTATTGTTTTTTCATCCTTTGTATCATCTATACTCCGATCCAGTGGTGCACATTTGTTTATTATCTTGAAATCTTTCAATAAGGCTTCGGCGATTGTAATTCTTGAAATTTGAGGAAGTGTGTACATTATCGATTTCAGCAAAAATGTAATTAAAACGATTCACTATGGTACACTTCTGATTAATTAATTTTGGAAGCGTGACTCAAGTTTAGAGATAGCCCCAACAATCTCTCTCTCTCTAGTTCGTGTGTCGTTACTATTTCTTTTAATAACTTTGTAGTTCGTTGTACTCGTGTTAGGTGATGAAGGCACAGTGCTCAGTGTCTGCCTTTAATATGCTTCTAATGGAACAGAGGTCTCAAGTTGGTTTCCCAATAAACGTAGTGACACTAAGGTAAATTTCCATGAGTTTCAATGGAATAGTTGGATCTATAACCATCATTCTACATGTCCTAGGTATATGACTTGTCTTTTTCAATCACAATTTACTTTTCATTAGGATTCTTGTTGTTAGCTTTGTCTGAATCTATTCAGTACTTAGTGCATAGACATGATTTATGTTATCTGTTTCCGTTTCGCGTGTTTGTTCCATGCACTTGCATACCGATATTTCATGTCAGTTCGTGCCTATTTGCATAGGCCAGAAAACCTACACGTGTAGAATCTCTTCTTCTATTGGACGAAATTCATTAATCGTTTCAATTATTTCACCAATTCTTCTGAGAGCTCACCCCGATGGAGTGAACCTAAACAGAGTGAGATGGGTTGTATTTAATTTAATATTAGTAAGAGGATAATGGATTACTAAAACCTTTAGAAGAAATACCAGCTCTTGTATGCCGTATCACATGTTTCCAAGTTTTGAAATTGGACTTTGTCTCCATCGAGCTGTCCTATATTTTGATTGCAATTTTTTCGTCCATAGAGGTAGTGTTTTTTTTACTTTTCCGCTTTCGCATGTGTATCTCAATTGGATGAATTTTTTGGCTTTTTTAAGCATTTATAACTAAGGCCAGTAACCTTAGCTTTGTTATAACGTTTGGCTAATAATGCCTAAGCATTGGTAGAAAATGTTCCGCTCTCCTCGTCAATGTAAAGTACGCCTTTCGAAGTTTTATTCCAATGAGGCTTTAAGGCTCCTAACTTCCTTCCCTTTGGTTATCTTTTACCATTCTTATTAGACGAGCTGAACATGTTGCATTCTAGGGGAACTTCTTCTCTTCTATTTCTCTGATTGTATTTAATTTAAACTGGTTTGATACAAGTCACCATCACCTGGTTTTTAAGGTGTGTCATTTAGCTGACATTTTTCACTCCCTGACTCATCAGAATAAAGCTACTTTCCTAAGCATTTGTTCAGTGCTAGTCCTTACCCCCCTCCCCCCGCCCGCTTTGTCTCGCTCTCGTTAATTCCGCGAGGATAGGGTAAATAATTAAGAATGTGATTCATTCCTGGATGCTACCTACAATGCTTGATAAATAGGTATTTATGGTAACAGTGGTTAACCCAATACACCTACAATGTTATTAGATATCACGAGATCAGCTCTCGTCGGTGCACGATCAGCAATATGACTGATCAATCGAACTGGTTAATTCTGGTCAACAACGAGAGAGATGGTCTAATGCGCTTTTCCTCATAAGAGCGGCTTCCTCTGCCCTAGATAGGTTGTGGTTGATACTTCTGGGGCAATATTTCTGCAAGCAGAACTGGAAGTTCAAATATGTGTAATCGTCTGACAAAGTGAACTGGAATCTGAGTTAAATTGTGTCCTATTTTTAGGTTAATGCGTTTTAGCTGCTTTATATGTTTACCTTACTTGGAAAGCTTGTTTTTCAACCATTTTTTTGTATGATCATCAATTAGCTCTAGTATGGATGTCAAATTGAAAAGAACTGGGAATTTCAACGCATAAAGTTTTTGTTTATAAGAAAATTAGAAATTCTATTTCAGTAAGTAAACTCAACTCAGTGTGTTTGTTCTCACTTTGCTTTGATGTACTTCATCATGCACCATTGAATCACGAGTTGGTTTCATTAATTTTGCATGACTGAACTTCACGCTAGTAATCGTCGACTTTGTCTACTCCACCAGCTCTTGTCTTGTATTCTATTGGATGACAGAATTCCCACCTTTGAATTCTCACTCTCGAAACCGCTTGATTCTCACTAACTTTCATATTTTGCTGAAGTTCTGGTGAGTGTAGGCTTAGAAGAGCGATCAAAACAACTTGGAAGCGAGAGGAATACATGTAAAATGTGGTCTTCAAAGTAAACTTATCGCCAATCTGCTCTGTTTCCATGTGACAAGTTACGTCCATGTTCCTTTCAATTTCTGAAACTGATCACCAATTTAACTATTCCAACATTTCCATCGTTCCTTAGTTTTGTGAGCATCCATTTGACTTATTCACCTTTTAATCTAAACGTACTGGTTAGCGAAGCCTATTGCTATTCGCAATTTGGCGTTCTTTGATTTGATCGTGCTTTTAAATTCGAAATTCGCTGTCATTTTAGCGAGTTAATTTAAGGTAAATGTTGGTGTATTTTTTATCTACCCGGGATTCTCACAAGTTTTTCCTTTAAAATGCATATCATCCAATGGTATGTAAGTGTTGATAAATTCGATGTTACCTATTTACATCTTGTGTTAGTGGAGATTTGTCCAAGATGATGCCATAGGGGTTACTTGGTGATTCCTCCTAACCTTCAGATTCCTCACATTTTTTGTTTTACATCGCCTTCATTATCTATGACTCATTCTCCTTGGCATGCCCTTCGTCTTGCAGTGCCTGAAGAGGCGATTGTCCTCTTTTTTTGTTCTCTCTTACCCTTTTGTAAACCTCTCTGCTTTTCATTGGTGGGTTCCTTAGACATAATCGTCTCCGTTAACATTTCCCCAAGCCTGTTTTGTATTCTTGCGTTTTTGGCATACTGTCTAAAGGTCTATTGTCGTTCTCTCCCCTACTTAAGAGTTGGGAGTTATATTTGGGGTGGGGGAGTGGGGGGGGGAGCATTTGTAGTCTATTCGTTGTGAATGTGCCGTTCTTTACTATACTCAATATTCTAAGTTAAATATTAATTTCGGGTGAATGTTCACTGAGCCTAAACGTATTGCGTGCAATAGCTTAAAATAAAAATATATGACGCATTTTTATACATTTTAAAGTGGTATTTCTGCGTGATGATGAATAATGATTTGAGAAATCCCAGTCCCATTTTTCCATACACCCGCTCCTAATTATTAATCCTATTCCCACAGAACTCGATATTTCCATAACTTCCTCCCTAGGCACTCACTTCACATAACTTGTTTAACTCGGGTTGCTAATATCGATTAATCGACTTTTTTCTGTTTTCATAAATGTCAAAGTTCAAAAAAACGCTACTTCTAAACATCTTGAAGCGATTTTTCGTAAAATAGAAAGGACTTTTTTCTCGTATCTTTTCTGGCGAAAATTTTACCCTTGTCACGCCTTTTAAGTTTCAACTTGACTAAATTTAGATCACTCAACCGCGATTATCTTTAAAAATCGTTTTCATTCAAATTCCGTTTGAATCACGATGTTGAGGCAGTTGGTATGCTTGTCTGTGAAATCAGGGGTCACTAATTCGATAAACAGTGCTGCATACTCCATGCGTGGAATGGTAATACGAGGGAGAGCCGAATTCAAGTTTCTTATCATAGGACACCTCATGGTGCTATTCCTGTCTGTTGCATGTCCAATATCTTGTATATCCAATAGCATATAATTCCAAGTGTTTCAAAATGCTGCCTTGTGTTCACAGAACAAATTATCTTCTTGTAATGGAGTGTGAAGAGGAAATTGTCAAATTCGGGCCCTTAAAAGCTATGTGAAATGCTCACACTTGGCAGTGAGCCACAAATTTCCACATTGTTCAACTTTCTTAGAGTCCAATTTTGACTTGATAGCTCCTTCATTTATTTCCTATTGAAAATAGTCTACTTCTTGCAAAATTTAAAAAGATGTTCAATGTTGTTGCTGAATGTCAAATTGCCATATATAGTTTTTATTCTAATTGAGGTTCCTAACACTTAGTGACTGGTTTTAAATAAAGAAATAATTTTGCTTGAAACTGTAAGTATATGGTATAAGCTGGTTAGTCATCCTTTGGCTGGCACGCAACGGGGTTTCATTTTGGTCAGGTAATTTTACCGACTTGAATCGTATGCACTCCAGTATATCTGAAACTCACATTCAAACTCCAGTCTCCTATGTATTATACGCTTCCCTCCCCGTCTATTTACTTAGTGTTACTTTACACTTTGGTTTCCCAATAGTCAATTCACTTTCCATACTCATTACTGCACATCATGTGGAAAGCATGCCCAATCGTATCAATAAGAGAGATGGCGAAATTTGCGTGGTCCAATCTGAAAGATCTCTTAGGTGGATGAACTTTGGCCATCACTTTCATTTAACTGTCTCGTGATTTTCTGTAGTGACGTCTTTATGATTGAGAATCAATTGTTGGTTTTTAATTGCTGTTCAGAAATTCCTCAAAAACTATTGTTAGTCCGGAGTGTTGTTTTATTTTTACCATAGTCTCCTTGCTTTATGTAAAAGAGACCAATTTCGACCGTCTTGAGATCATTTACTCTTTGGTACTTCCAATGGCTAGAAACGTCAGCTTAAATATAGACCGTCTATCTGATTAAGTTCCCTGTAGTCTATATGGAGAATAATTCTGGTCAGTAAATTCGCTGCTTTTTTCTCCATTAACTGGGAAAAGTTAACAGGTTAAATCACACGGTTCAGTGTTTTATTTAGGGTGAGAAATAGTTTTACTGGATTTAATGTGCACTGAATGCTATTTCCATTGGCTCATGAAGTGAGAGTATGAGTCTTGTGAGAAATGTTGTGGATCGGAATCCCTCGCACCCTCGCCTACTTTCATAAAAGGCATAAAGACATAAAAGGAGATTTATTTGCTTAGGGTTTGGAAAAAGATTTTATTCCCAATGGCCCAGTTGTTAGCATAAATGGTTGCTGAGTTGAAGGTTTGTCAAGTTAATACACATCGATGACTATTTAGTGAGACAGAGGTAACCAATCAAACAGATTAATTCTGTTCAACGAGAGAGAGAGATGGTTAAATGTGGGGTTCCGTAAGAAAGTCTCCCAATTACTATTTTTTTCATCAGAGTCAACCTCTGTGAACACTTCTTATGGATCTGGAATATTGGTAATTTAGGAGAATAGCTGAAAAGGTCACTTCAATTTATCATCTTGAATTTATACTGAGGGGTTAGTAATTTCCTACTGCTGATCGTCATGCAACGCCTAAAATCACATTTACATCACAAGACAG